GAAGGGGGGGGGGGGGGGTGGGGATAGGAGGGTCCCCGAGCCCTGCGACCGCCCGGCAGAGCTCAGCACCACCGAGGACAGAGCCAGCTGCTCAGAGCCGGAGTCCAGTCCCGCTCGCGAACTCCCCAGCCCAGGCCGACTCTGCCAGATTCACCTCACAACCAACACAGAGCCAAGTCCCAGCCCTGCCCCCACCCCGACCAGGCCGACTCTGCCAGATTCACCTCACAACCAACACAGAGCCAAGTCCCAGCCCTGCGCCCACCCCCATGCCGGATAGAAGGCGAAAATACCGGACACCTGGCAACCCTATTTCCTGGCACCGCCGCCTTGGCAGGTCACTGCTTACAGAACCAGTGGTTTATTTGACTAAGAATTACCCCAAGCCAACTCGGCCCCGCAGCAGCAACAGCCCACCAGATCTGCCTAGGTCACTCGCAAGCATCCCCAGCTCTGCTATCACACACACTCTCAGCACACTCTGCCAGCAGCAAAGGAGTCATCCTGAGAGCTAGAAGTCTGAATAAGATGGGTGAACTAGAGTACCTCGTGTTAAAGGAGGATTTTGATACAATAGGTATCACGGAAACTCGGTGGAATGAGGACAATCAACAGGACACAGTCATACCAGGGTACAAAATATACCGGAAGGACAGAACAGGTTGTGCTGATGGGGGAATGGCACTATACGTGAAAGAAAATGTAGAATCAAATGAAGTAAAAATCTTAAATGAGCCAAAATGTTCCATAGACTCTCTATGGATAGTAATTCCATGCTCCAGTAATAAGAATATAGCAGCAGGGATATATTATCGACTACCTCACTCATAATAACTATGAAATGTTAAGGGAGAGGAGAGGCTATCAAAATAAAAACCTCAATAATAGTGGGGGACTTCCAATATCCCCCATATTAATTGGGCACACATCACCTCAGGATGGGATGAGGAGATCAAATTTCTTGATACCTTAAATGACTGCTTCTGGAACCCACAAGGGAAGAGGCAATTCTTGAGTTAGTCCTAAATGGAGCGCCAGATCTGGTCCAAGAGGTAAATATAACTGGACCGCTTGGAAATAGCGACCATAACGTCATACAATTTAATGGCCCCGTGGTGGGAAAAACCCCTCAGCAGCCCAACAAGGCAGCATTTAATTTCAGAAAGGGGAACTACATAAAAACGAGGTTAGTTAAACAGCCATTAAAAGGTACAGTTACAAAAGTAAAATCTCCGTAGCTTAACAACCAAGTAAAAGAAACAGACACAGAGACAAAGACATTTTTAAAAAGTGGAAGTCAAATCCTAGTGAGGAAAATAGAAAGGAGCATAAACTTTGTAAAATTAAGTGTAAAAATATTATAAGAAAAGCCTCCTTCAAAAAGGAGGTTGAAGAACAGCTAGCCAAAAACTGAAAGGCTATGTCTATACTGCCCCCGTTTTGTGCAAAAAATATGCAAATGAGGTGAAGTGTGGAATATTACCGCACCTTATTTGCATAATTAATTAGGCTCCTTTTTGCACAAAAGCCCCCTCTTGCGCAAGAGCCATTCTTCCCGAAAAAAATGCGGAAGAACAGCTCTTGAGCAAAGGCCTCTTGCTCAAAAACGGAGCCTAATTAATTATGCAAATGAGGTACGGCGATATTCCATGCTTTGCCTCATTTGCATATGTTTTTGAGCAAGAGGCTATAGTGTAGACCTCGCCAAAGAGTAATAGCACGGCTTTTTTAAGTACATCAGAAGCAGGAAGGCAGCTAAACAACCAGAGGGGCCCTTGGACGATCGAGATGCTAAAGGGGCACTCAAAGATGATCAAGTCATTGCAGAGAAGCTAAATGAATTCTTTGCTTCAGTCTTCACAGCTGAGGATATTGGGGAGATTCCCAAAGCTGAGCCATTCTTTTTAGGTGACACATCTCAGGAACTGTCCCAGGTTGAGGTGGCGTTCAAGGATGTTTTGGAACAAATTGATAAACTGACAGTAACAAGTCACCGGGACCAGATGGCATTCACCCAAGACTTCTGAAGGAACTCAAATGGGAAATTGCAGAACTATTAACTGTGGCTTATAACCTGTCCTTTAAATCAGCTTCCATATGCAGTGGCGGCCTGTCAATACAGGCGACCTAGGCGGTCGTCTAGGGCACCAAGAAAAACAGCCGTTGAGGGCTTTGGAGGCGGGGGCACCAATTGCGTGCCGATTATGCAGTTCTCCTAGGGAGCCAGTTGCCAGCAGCTCGTCTAGGGCCGCTCCTGTCCATAACGAATGGCAGGAAGCAGGCTAATATGATGCCAATATTTAAAAAGTACTCTAGAGGTGATCCTGGCATTTACAGACCGGTAAGTCTAATGTCAGTACTGGGCAAATGAGTTTAAACTATAGTAAATAAAATTGTCAGACACCTACCGTATTTTCCGGCGTATAAGGCGACTGGGCGTATAAGACGACCCCCTAATTTTCTAGTTAAAAGATAGGTTTTCGTCTTATACTCGCCGTATAAGACTACCCCCCCTTAAGAGGCCAACCGGCAGCGCCCCAGCGCCCCTCCGCCTCCTGTATAGGGCGACTGGGCGTATAAGACGACCCCCTAATTTTCTAGTTAAAAGATAGGTTTTCGTCTTATACTCGCCGTATAAGACTACCCCCCCTTAAGAGGCCAACCGGCAGCGCCCCAGCACACCTCCGCCTCCCCGGCTTTGCTCCCGGTGTCCCTGGTCTGCTGGAGACGGTCCCCAGCAGACCAGGGTC